TGTCCCCCACTCCCCGCCCACCGCATGGTGCAGAGCAGCGAGTCCCCCACGCCCTCCCTGCACCCTGTCCCCCACTCTCCGCCCACCGCATGGTGTAGAGCAAGGTGCCGTCGTCCTCCAGCCGCAGCAGCTTGTTGGGCGTGGTCATGTTGTGCGCGATGGACTTCTTGCCGTTGTGGAAGAACGTGTCGGGCGTCCAGATCCTGCTGGCCAGCAGGTTGTTGAGCGGCAGGCGCTGCATGGGCCCTTTAAAGCGAAGCCTTTCGTCCTCCCAGCTCTGTCGGAAGAACACGTCGATGGTGTACTCCTGCACAGACAAGGCCAGGGCGGCTGAGCGGGGGCCAGTGCGGCGGGCGTGCATCTGCGGTGACGTGCAGGGCGGCCCCCCCTACCATTTCTGTGTCGGACACCGGGCCGAAGCTGGTGACGTAGATGTCGGTCCTCACCTGGGTGACGCGCTCTGAAACACACAGGGGCCCCGCGGTCTAGGCACCTGCTCCGCAGCCGCGGGTGGGGAGCTCCTGCGGTGTTGGGGAGTCTCCGAGGAGCTGAGCCACGCCATCTTCCTGGGACGGCCCTGAACCACGGGGGCCTCGGTCTCCTCCCTGCAAGCCTGGACACCGGGCCAGCCCTGCAGCCCTGACCTCAGCCTCCCACAGATGCGGCCTTTAAAGGCTTGGCAGTTTGGGAGGGGAGCAGGCGGGGAGCAGTTGGCAGGCAAAGCTGGAGACCGGGGAGTGGGGTTGGGAGAGGGTGTGCCCACGGGGCCCTGAGACGGGCAGCTTGAGAAGGAAGACCCTCTTCCTCTGGCAGTCAGCCTCTCAGAGTCCCGCCTTGGGAGACCCCGTGCCGTTGTTTATTTATCCTTCCCGTGACAGGGAGAGTGAGGCACCCCCAGCCAGGTCCTCGTGCCACCACCCGCCCCAGCCTTTGCCAGCCCAGATCACGGCAGTTCCAGGATGCAGGGACGCCTCAGGAAGGCCACTGCCCAGCTTCCTGCCCAGGAAATGGGAACAGGGTAGTACCGGACCCTGGGTAAGGGCGGAACAGCCTGAGCTCAAGACACTGGCAGGGAAGGATGTCCAGAGATCGCTGGAGCAAAGCAGACCCGAGCCCCCAGCGTCGGCTCTCCGCGGGCCCCTCCGCCTCCCTGGGAGAGCACGCTCACCCCCAGCCCGCCTGGTGCCGGCTCTCCGCAGGCCCACCTCCCTGGGAGAGCACGCTCACCTCCCAGCCCGGGCCGCAGCCTGTTGTCGTAACCGTCCAGGAGCCCGTCCAGGATCCGCGTGAAGATGGTGATGTTGTCGTTGGTCTCATCTTTTACCGCACTGGTGGGCATTTGTGAAAGGCTTTTCACAAGGGAAACAAAACAAAAAGAAAGCTCTTATTATTTCTTACAAATCCTCTACCAGAAGTACAAGGGGACTTCAAGAAGTTTTGGAAAAAGTGGAATTAAAGAGCAAGTTTATAGGATCAGCAGTTGGTGTAATGGCTGTGTCTCTGGACTCCCATGTAGGGGACCATGGTTCGGGTCCTGGACCAGGTGGCTTAAACTCACTCTGGGCACATGTGCGTGCGTGCCCAAGATCCTGAGAGAATAGAGGAGAAGGGATTGTGGCATGGCCACCCCACCTGGGGGTGATTTCTCGCTTTCTGTCTCTCTCTCTCTTTGTCTGGCAAATGCATGTGCTGTGTAGCAAAAACCTCTCAAAATAATAATAATAACAAATAAATAAATAATAAAAATAACAAGTTGATGTTGGTGCAAGAAAAGGAAGCCGGTGCATGGTCTCCCTAGTGGGCATTGGCACAGACTTTCTGAAGATGCCTGATAGGGACCAGATGCCGCCCAGAGACGTGTCCGGGAGGCATCTGAGAACGGCCCCCTGCACTGCCCCGTCAGCTTCCAGCCCCTGGAGCCCAGTTCCTGACTCCGCAGAGGCATTCTGCTCTGGCTGACTGGCCGTCAACCTCCCACGACACTCACAACCTGCCACTCTGACTGCGAGGAGCCATTCACGTCAATGGTTAGAGCCGTTTCAAAAGCAAAGCAGCTACTGCACACGGACTGGCAGAGCCTCATACCTAAGACGTTTGCCTTAAATATAAAAACCTGCGTTCGTGGGCCGGCCCCATGGTCTCGTGGTTCAGGGAGCCGGGTCTAACATGGCCAGCTGCACGGTTTGACTCCCAGCTCCAGCCTGAAAAATACACGTCTCCATGTGTGCGCACCCCGAATCCCTGCAGGATGGAGAAACGGAGGAGAAGGGATTGTGGCATGACCCCATCAGGAAGTGATTTCTCCTTCACCCTCTCTGTGATGAGCCCACGCGCTGGCCAACTAGGAACCAAAACGACGCGGAGTTTGCATGTTAGTGAATCACCTGCGACAGTGCGGGCGGCTGGTAGCTCTGAGGCCAGGCTGGTCTGCCCACAGCTGGCTTCTCCCTGCCACAGCCTGTGAGCTCGCGCTCTGAAGAACATGCCAGGTGACGGTGCTGTTGGCGCCTGGGCCATCTCCATGGCCTTCACCCCACAGCACAGTTCGCGTGACCCCACAGTCACGTGCACAGCAGAAGCCCCAGAATTGCAGACTGGACCTTCAGGGAAGAAACGAGAACACTCCAAGTTTGCTCCGCAGAGGGAAATTATCCGGCTCCAAAAGCTCCCATAGACAGATGTGGAAATGGCCCCGAGCACATCTGGACCAATGCGGTGGCCTGAGGAGAGAGGCCACAGCCCAGGAGGTCCTAGTGTGTCTGAAGAGCACGAACCCACCTCGCGTTTCGGACGTGCAAGGGCTCGGTGCTCGGGACTGTCACCTGTCATTAAACACGGCTGGCTGGGCCTCGAGGGGGCCGCCCGAGCTGCGAGCCAGCTGTGGCTCCCCAGACTCCAGCACCCTGGGGGCTCGGGACAAGGGCACGTGATTCCTGGTGCTCCCTGAGCAGAATGGCCGAGAGGGCCCCGCACGGGTGCTCTGATGTCACACCGCAACGCTGTCCCTCCTAGCCTCCATCCCGCCAGGATCCCGGGCACACCTGCACATGCCCCGTGTTCTCAGGCCTCAGCAGGTGGCTCTGTGCCACCGTACACACACTTCTGCCATGCCAGAGGCCGGGCCTGCGTGCCGCCGCTCCGCCTCCCGCGGGCCTGTCAGCGTGCTGCGCGTCCAGTCCCATCCCGTTTGTGGAGGGCCCTCCTGCCTGTTTAACCTGCAGACAGCGGCATGGGCGTGTGCGCGAGGAGAAAAGTTTATCCAGCATTGCGAGGGAGGTTCTGTAAGCCGTTCCACTATGTCTGAAAACATGTCCACGAAGTATGTCAGATCCGAGCAGCCCTGGGTGTCAGACCGAGATGGACCGCAGTGCGGCCCTCCCGTGGTGTGGCCCTCCCAAGACCGCGCGGCCACAGCGAGTCTCCGCACAGCTTCCCTGGGCTCTGAGATGAACGTACCCTGCTCTGCCAGTTCCAGACACGTTTGGCTCTAATCCCACTTCACACGCGCCCATGTCATTTCCAACAGCAACGGGATAGAATACAATGCTTACAGGACCGGCAGATGGCATAACAGTTATGTGGCTGGACTCCCGCGTAGTCGACCACGGTTCGGGTCCCAGAACCAGTGGCTTCGATAAGATATTGAGTAGAGAATGGAAGAGGAGGGATTGTAGCATGGCCATCCCCCTGGGGGGTTGATTTCTCACTTTCTGTCTTTCTGGTGAGTGCACACATGCCCCATAGCAAAAATCTCGTGTGTGTGTGTGTGTGTGTGTGTGTGTGTGTGTGTGTGTATCTATATAAAATGCTTAAGCATTCCAGAGCTCAGGGGTGGCCCCATGGTCTAAAGGTTAAGAGAGCCAGGTCCCACATGGCTGCCTGTGTGAGCCCCAGCCCCTGTGGCTTGGGAAACTCCAGGTGTCTGTGCATGTGTGCGGGAGTCCTGGAGACATGGAGGAGAGAGGACTGCAGTGTGACCACAGCCCTCAGGGGGTGCCTCCTCCCTCCTTTCTCTGTCTCTTTTCTCTCTGTCAAGTGCATGTGCTCTCTGACACTTAAGGGAGAAAAAAAAAAAAAAAGAATTCCAAAGCCCAGCTTCCGCTTCTTGGCCGGAAGTAAAAGTCAGAAGCAGTTTACGTATGTCCACCTAGGGTGTGATGCCGTTTAAGTCTCAGATCCCACACGGCTGGCTGCACAGGCAAGCTCTGAACCCAGGGGTTTGAAAAATACGCAGGGCCGGGGCTGGCAGGTGGTGTGGTGGCTAAGGCCGCTGGACTCTCACATGGCTGACTGCAGTTCGAGTCCCGGACCTGGCAAAGTCAAATAAAATAACTCTCTAAAAGAAGTATATGCAAGGGCACATGCACCTGTGTATCCGAAACCCCAAGAAGAGAGTGGAGGAGGACGGCTGCAGCATGGTTGTACCCTGAAGGGCGATTTCTCATGCTCTCTCTGTCTCCAGCAAGCATATGTATCTGTAGGATAAATAAATAAATAATAAAAGTATGTGTTTATTTGGGTGCAAAAAAAAAAAAATTGAAATCCACGCATAGCTTTTTCATAATATCTGTTTCCATGAACTTTTGGAAGACTTCTTACAAATGGATATACTTTAGAAATGTCTCCAAGTATTTCTCTTTTAGAAAAACTTGCAAGGATTTTGCACCGGCCTCATTGAGCTGCAGTGTTACAGTCCCTGATAAGAACACGTTGCAGACTGCCTTCAAACGGGCTTCATCCTACCGGCGGTACCTAGCGGGGCTGCCTTTTCTCGGCATTTTAAAGGGTCCAGTTGTCTCGTGGTTTCTGGGGAAGGAAAACCTTCCGAGAAATGTGGCACCACGGAGGAGGACGGTGTGGATGCGTTTCTTGGCCATGTTGCCTCTGCCCAAAGTGACGGCTGTTTCCGACTTCACGGAAAACGGGGTTGGGAATGGCCACCGCGGATGGGTAGTGTGGGACCGTGTTGGGAACCGCGCCGGATTGCTTTTTAAGCTGCAGCGCCTGTCTTCCCAAACGGCATCCTCTCCGCGTACGTGCCGCTCTGACAGCATCCGGCGTGCTTGTCCCTTTGCGGTCCCTGAGTGAGCACCCCCTGGCAGCACCGTGGCACCGTGCTCCTCGCTGTCGTAGCGACGCTAAGGACACCAGGGCACTGGCTGGACCGCCTTCTAGCAGGGGTTTCCCCTCTTAAGAGGGAAATCACAAATCCGAAGTGCGTCGTACTGGCCACGCCCCTGCTAGGAGACCTGCCACCAGGACTCCAGCTTCTCCACCCCGCCCCCGGCCGCCCAGTCTGCCCTTCAGTCCCCAAATCCTGCTCCTGGCTGTCCCCAGTAGCCTCCTCCGTGGAAGCTCTCCATCCTTGCCCTCAGCACTGCTGCCCGGCCTGCAATCCTCTCACCCACAAAAAGGAACCGAAGTCCTGGCCCCGGCCACAGGTGCTGCTCCCACCCGCCCCCTTCCAGCACCCCATGTGCATGCTGACGGGCCCGCCCAGCCTTCCCCATGCACCTCGGCCGCTGCCTATTCCTCCCCAGGGCCGGCACCTGCTGTAAGGACCCGCATCTCCTTCCGATTGGCACCCATTCTTTCTCTTCTCCTCAAAGCTCACGGGGCGTGGTGCCTTCAG